TTTCCTTACCCCTGCATTATGGGTTGTGTTGGGTCTATAAGGTGCCATAACCTGGGTAAAAATATATTCTTTTTCTCTCTGCCTTGGGGTCTGTTGTATTTGGACCTCATCATGCTTAGCATTGTTTAGACATTCACACTGGTTGCTGCAATTGAATACTCAGAGGCACTGGGGAAAAAAACCCAAAACAAATAATAGAACACCACCCCCCACCACACACCCCCCGTGATTGCAGCTATTAAATAGATTTTTTTTCCCATTTTATTCTTGTTGTCTGGAGGGTGGAGGAGAGGAGTGGCTGAGGGCAGGTGCCTCAGTGCCATCAGGGCTGGCACTGTGACCTCGGGCACGGTGCAAAGAGGGATTGAGCTGGACTCAGGAGGAGCCCTTGCTGAGTTTATGGCTGTGTTAAAGTTGCATTCCAGGTTGGAACAGGCTGTGTTGGCTGGTGTTCAGCAGAAATTTCTGACACCAGTAATAGCTAATGGGTTTGTTAAGATCTAAATTCAATAATAGTGCCCAAATAGTGTCTGCTAAAATACATTGAAGACTATTTTTTTTTATTTTTGAGGACCTGGGATCAAGCTTGTAGCTACTCCATGGAAGGATGAATTGCTGTTCTGGATTTCTTTGAGTACCAGCTTTGTGTCTTGTGTTTTTGCCCTGCCTTAGACATTGCAGTGTCCAAGACAGGGAGAACCACACCATATTTGAATAACACCCAGCAAAGGCCTGTTCCCAAATGAATTTCCCGGGGCTATTTAACGGAGAACAGCAACGAACTCAGCTCATTTTATAAACAAATCCTGTTTGGCTGCATGGACTGACTGTGGTAGAGCTGACTGGTTCAAACAAAAACAGAGCTGAGCAGAGGAGCTCAGTTTGTACCTGCTCAGGGACTATAGAGTAACCCAGACTGCACATTCCTGAACAAAAAACAGGCCAGACACAATCCAGTTTCTTTGTGCCTCTGTTGTCTGATGAGACCCAGTCTCTCCAGGCTTGCTCTGAGTAATGCAGCGATAGCTCATCCCAGGGCCTTGGTAAATCTAATGAAAAGAGTGTCTCCAGAAAGGTTCAGGAATGCAGCAGCCTATGCTACTGCCTTGCTAATGCTTCACACAGTTCTCCAGACTGGAGTATTTTGCTCGCTTTCCTGCAACCACTATTTATTATTTAAATGACAAATCTGGAAAATTTCCCAGATCTAATGTCTGCCCCATTACTTTCTGTCTTGGATACTGCAGATAATCAGATGAGCAGTAAATCTATTCTGTGGAATAGAATTACATTATCTTTTTCTTTTTTTTTTTTCCCTGTCAAACAACTTGTGAATGATTTTTCTTTTCTTCACCCCCATAAAATACCTAATAGATGAAAAAAAAAAATCTGTGTGCCAAATACAAGTTATTCCACATGTACCTCCAGCGGTGCATCTGCAGAAATGCCAGTGGGAGTGTATTTACCTTCTGTAGACGGGGAAGATTGTGTGAAATAATTCCTAGCACTGATACTTTCAGTTGGGTGGGTGAAGGGACGTGCTATGGGCAGTTTTTGGCATCTTGGTTCTTTTTGTTTGTTTGTTTTGGGGGGGGTGGGTTAAGTTTGTTTGGGTTTTGGTTGGTTGTTTTTTTAGCCGGGTTTGATTGTGTCCTTTCTCCATCCTCTCTGATGGTTTCTGAAGTCCTTCCTGAGTTTCTCTGAAACAAGACCACCCTGTTGAGCAGTGGGGGGACGTTTACCAGTGGTCTCACGTGTTACTGATCTGCCCTTGGATTCTCTGGCTCTCAAAAGCAGCAGCACCAAAGGATGCTGAGGCTGCCTGGGCCAGGCTGGAAAGGCACAGGGAATTACATCCCCTGCCATGCTGAGCACCACTACATAGTTCTCCAGCTGTCCCAGTCCTTCCCAATGAAGTGATGGTGACACAGCTTTTGGAAAAGAGAAAACACAAGAGAAAACCTGCTCTCAGGAATGACCAGCTTGATTCTGAGCCTTCACACCGAGTGTGAATTGCACCTCTTTCCTTAAAAACAGGAGGCTTATTTTTCTGCCCCCCCTCCCTCCACTCCACAGTGATGAGAAACTGAAGGTCAGGAATGAGCCCCCCGAAGGCTCATGAAGAACAAAATACGACGTGTTTTAACTGATGTGAAAGGTTAATGGGGAAGATCAACATCCAAAGGCTGCAGTAAGGAAAGGGGGCTTGTTTGGGCAGAGCCTGAAGCGAAGATTCAGCATTACAGGGAATGGGAAGTGTGAAACTGTGGGGCAGGGAACACACAGCCCTTTAGCCCTGCTCAAAAATAATAGTGCAGACCTTTTTTTTAACTTCAGAGTTTAGTCTGCCCTCCGTAAAAACAAGTTACATTAAAAAACCGTGCACCAGAAAAAGCAAACCTCATTTTCCTGGTTTCTGCTTATAAGATTTACAGGTACTTAAAATAAACCTATGAAAAACAGACCCAGTGTGCTGGAATTTGCTAACTAGTGAGAGCAATTACCTCCAGGTCCCAAGACCTAACGGAGCTTGGCTTTTTGGAAATAAAACTTGGCAAGCGCTTCTTCCTGCTGCTGTTGTAAAGGTGCACATGAAAAGATGTGCTGACCTCTGCCAGAAACCCCAGGAATCCAGTTCAGAGAGATTCTCCTGTGGAGGGGATGGCTGGATTGGGGCAGCACAGATGGGGATCGGTGTGGAAAAGCCGGCGAAACATTCGCTTCTCATTGTGTGGCTTCAGCGTGGCAGATTCTTTGCAATTGCCTGGTGTACCACAGCAATTAAATGGGTCAAGAGCAGTAAGTTCAGATACTTAACAAGAAAATAAAGACCTCACTTGACAGCCAGCAGCGGGTCGTGCTCATTTCACAGGAGTAAGGAGAATTAATGCAGGTTGTGCAGTGAAAGTCAATCTGAGCCTTTTTGGCAATGATTTTGTGTTGCTTCAGAGATCACCCACCAATTAACTACAAATGCTGTAATGGCTGTAAATCAGGTTGTCTTATGAAACTAATGCTCCAGTTTCAGATGTCCTAGAAAAAGGGAAACAATAGACTCTGCTTTTCTCCTTTCAGCGATAGGTAAGTAAGAAAAGATGAGAAAGACACAACCAACCTTTGTTAATATTGAAATGCAAAATAATCCCATGTTTCATGCATGAGGGGAAAATGAAGTTTGTGTAATGAAGTAAATATGATAGAAGTGGAATCCAAGATGGAAATTGATTTTTGTAAGACTCTCCAGTTTGGAGGGTGGAGGTAGTTTCACACTAGTGTTTCGAAGGAAATTATTTGTTGTTGTCAGTATCCATTGTTCCTGGCTGGGGAAAGGAGCTCCTCTTTCCCACAGCAGTTGTAAAAGTCCTTTGGGAAGGATGAGATCTTCCTCCTGAAATATTAAGGAACAAGTAACAAGAATGTTAAAAAAAAAATAAAATTAAAACCATAAAATGTGTTCTGCCACAAACCAGGAGCTTTCCCCTTGAAAGTTAAGAGATGGGACCAGGTTTGCTGCTGTGTTTGTAGATTCCCTTTGGACTGAGCACTATTAAAAGGGTTTGTGCCCTCCTGCCTAATGGGAACCAATGTCCAGCAGCGAGGGTTGGGCTCCATCACGAGCTGGTCCAAAGCAGCAGAGCTCAGCTCGGCCACAGGAGACAAATTAGGTGTCTCAGCTTCAGCATCTCATCAAGAATCGCTCAGAAACTTTGCTCATGTCTGTGCCTTGCAGTTATTAGGTGCAAGAAATACAGTTTTTAAAACTGTATTTAATCATTTCTCAGTAACCTCTTTTTCTGCAAATTTATGGCATCAATGGGTATGACTGTTTATTATGTCTTACCTATAAAATCTGACCTGTTTTATATACTCTTTATGGAAACAGTGTACAGTCATAAATTAAAAGATGCAACTGTTTTGGATATTTTACTGGTGGTCCTGTATTTTCCTGCCAAAAGTGCAGCTGTTTTAGGTTTCTCGGGATAACATTATAAAAGGCTGTGTGCATTTTGCAAGTTTATGCTTGAATTGCCAAGCCAGAGGTGGAATGACTCAACCTTCCCAGGAGCAACATGTACCAAGTGAGGAATCAAAACAGCTGGCTGAAGTGGGGCAGCTCAGATGGCCACTGGGAGAGGCACTTCTTGTTCCTGGTGGTGTATCTGGGGGTCAGGGTTTGAGGTGATTGTCGTGCTGGGCTGTGGATCCCTCTGTGTATATGATGGCGTTTTGGTGCAAAACTAGTAGAGAATCTGGTCTTGTACCTGTCTCACGTAGGGTTACACCGTGGAAAAAGGCCATCCAGGCCCCCCTGAGCAGACACCTTTAAGGGGAGCTCTTGGCGTGTGTGGCTGGGTTGGAGCCCTTGGAAGGAGCCAAGGGGAGCCAAGAGTGTGTTGGTGTGCCAGCACAGGCAGCGTGGTTCCATGTCAACTCGTCAGGCTGGCAGGTCTGGGGGAGCATTAGATGGCTCTGCAAATGGATGGTGATGCTTAATTCATGGGGAAGTTTAGAGGCTTCTTTAGCCAAAATGTTGACGATCTGATCCCCAGGTGTCAGCAGGCTCCAGACACAGATAGGCCTGAGAGCACAAAGCTCAGCCCTGAGGTTGTCAGAGGAACCAGCATTAACTGACAGAACTGAAGCCCTCCTGTTCCCATGGGAGCACCGAGAGCTTATGAGTTGTCCTTGTCTTAGAAAGAACTACAGAAGGGTGGAAATGAACCCTCCCCCAGAGCAAGCAGAGAATACAAACCTGTGAATGTCCTTAGCCCTGTGGCACTGAGCTGTCCCAGTGTGTTGGCTGGGGCAGCCTGGCTGAAGGTGCGTCCTGGTTTTAACTCACGGAAGCTTTATCCTGCTGTGTTCATGGGTGGCTGGCAGTGGGCAGCCCCATCTCTTTGCTTTCTCCCAGAAGCAGCCTCCACCTCCCCATACCGTGCACTACACAGGTGTTTGATGTGTTCATTCCTGCTCTAAAATGACGCTGCTCTCTGCTGCAGGTACCTCACCCACGTACGAGCCGCCTCTCCGCAGGATCTCGCCGGGGGATACACATCTTCCCTGGCTTGTCACCGAGCCCTGCAGGATGCTTTCAGTGGGCTCTTCTGGCACCCCAGTTAGCCAGGGACCACTGGCCTGACACCAAGGGACAGCCAACAGGGCAAGAAGCTGATCAAGCCAGCAAAGGTTGGGGCAGAATCGCTGCCCTCTGCGATGGCCGTGCTGCCATGGCTTTCTCGTGCACTTTTCTGTGCAAAACCAGCTGTGTTCGAGTGTTGAAGGGAAGAAAACAAAGCCCGTCTGCACGAGAGCTTTGTAAAATGGTGAGATACATTTTTGTGGAGGGGGAAACTCGTTAGTCATGTGGCACTTTGCTGAGGGAGGCTGAAGCAATAAGCCACATCTAATGGGAGATGTGAATAACTCAGCTGTGTATGTTTGAGGCTTAAAGAAATACACTTGTAAATTTTTTTTTTAAATAAAGCCAGACTTTTTTATTAAAGTTTGTGGTTTTACTCTTATTGCAGGGTTTTATTTGCACAAGCATTTAAATGCCATTTTGATTATAACATTTAGTGTCAATATTCAAGCCTACGTTTTCTTCCCATAAAACTAGTTTCCCCAAGTTTAGACAAGTGGGTTTTTCCTCCTGCCAGCTGGATGAGATGAGAAACCCTGTAACTATGCTGACACAACTCCTTCTGGGTGACACTTGGTTCTTACCTTTGCCTGGAAAACCAATATTTAGCTGAAAGTCTTTCTTCTGAGTTCCTCTAGAAGCAGTCTGAGAAACAAGACTGAGTCATTGAAGCAGTTAAAATTGTGGGGTTATTTTTTGGGGGGTTTATTTGTTTTGGTTTTGTTTGTTTGTTTTCTCCTGTTCAGCTCCATTTGCAACTTTTCTGTTGTGCACTCAGGAGCTTCTTTTGGCGGGAACATCCCTTTGCCTGGCTTTTGGGATGACCCTTGCCACTTGATTTGCTGCTTTCATGTATTCCTTCCCCTCTCCTTGTAGTGGAATGTTGACTAATGGCAGCAGAGCTGGGCTTCCCATGGGAGAACTGGACTTTGCCATGAGTGGGTATAAACTGCAGGAGATGGGAAACTGCTCAGGACAGGGAGCTTGGACCACGTTTCATGGGCCATCCATTAATAGCTGTTGAATCCTGCTCTGAGGGTGCACTAAATGGATGTGTTTTTTCTATGCTGTAATAAAGAGAAGAACAAGCTCTATTCCAGACTTGGTGCTTTCTTTATTAAGAAAAGTAGACGGAGGTGGCAAAATTTCCCTTGCCCTTTCCCTGAAATCCTGCCGGTTGTGGCAGAACAGCTGCTGACAGGGAATGTTACGTGCAAGGCAGAGGTGAAAAGATCACAGCCTGTGGAGCACCTCCCTGCAAGGGGCAGGGGGCCTGGCCTTGGACACAGAGCCTGTGCCTGGGTGCTGTAGGACTGGGGGTGCAGTGCCAAGAGGCCACCTCTGTTGGAATCCATCCCTGAGACAAGCACTGCTTCCCACCTGGGACTCTCCTTTCTTCTCCTCTCTCCCTGAGAGGGCTGACATGCCCACCGTTTTTCCAGTCCCTGGGAGTTTTTTTCCTTCTGTCACAGGTGCCTGACATCCTGTTGCCAGGTACAAGATGGCAGCAGTCTTCTTGAGATTCAGCTCTGGGACCCTGGGAGGGGGTAGCAGCAACTAAGGAGAGTCTGTCCTTTTCCAGGCTGACCCAGACTGGTAAGGATGCACCTCACCAATGGTCTGTTTGTATTCAGTTTGTAAAGGCTCAGGTCATGCCCTAGCAAAAGCAGAATTGCATATACATATTAATTATGTATCATTTAAATACACTCATTAACTTGCCTCATTTGGTGTTTCGTGTGGAAGGGTTGTACACACAAGTGGCAACTGCACAGGAATCTGGAAAACCTCCTGGTTATGAGTACAGCCACCTATCATCTGCTGACTTGCATCTAAACCAAAGTTATGTTGCTGGAATAACACTGGCATTCAATCCTTAAGGGAACAAAACCTTGACCGACTCAAATCCTTCCTTGCCCTGGGACGTTTCAGTCACGTGCTGGAAATCAGTTAGGCACTTGCCTTGCTCCACCCAGAAGTGGTGACCAAAGCCGGGTCTCTGCTGGTGCAGTAGTGCCAAGAAGCCCTGAATTTGGGCTCTGAAGCAACGCAGAGTCACAGGGACCTGCAGTCTGTGTCAGGCGTGGCAGCAGAGCTCACAGGCTCACTGCATCCTTCCAGAATGGTCGAGGGCCTTGTCACTCCAGCAGCGGTTGTGGAGGGAACTCCAGGGAACAGGAGCCACTGTCAGATGTTTATGGGAAAGGCAGAGGGCAGCAGCTGGAAAGCAGCAGAGCAGCAGCACAGGCTGGGGGTGAGAGCCCAGCGCAGCAGTGCCTGGGAGGACACACAAGCTGGAGCTGCTGAGACCACAAAGGCCAGAGGGGGAAGGCTCAGGCTGCAGTGCGGTCCAGGGAGGAATCTGCATGGCAGCGCTCAGGACAGCACGGGTGAGTCATGACAGCCTTCTCCCTCTGGATTGATAAATGTGCTCCAACGCGGGCTGTGGAGCCAAGGGAGAGAAAGGCTGTCACACTGAGCCATGAGCAAAACAAACCCACGGCCCTTAGCGGTGCTTGGGTGAGAACCAAACATCCTGCAGGCTGCAGGCTCAGGGATGGAGCCACAGCAGCAGAGCCAGGAGTGGGACGGACATCTGGTAAGGGAGTTGCTGGGCGTGAGCTGGGAGCGGGGACTGAGGGGAAATATCTGACACTGAGAGGGCGAGCTGAGTTCCCCGGCCAAGTAAACTGTTTGTGGTTCATGTTGCCCAACAATAGTTTGGATGGGTAAGAAAAGGAAATCAAAGGCAGAGGCTTTTCAAATCCCTGCAGAATACAAGCAGCCAGTCAGAGATCATCCCAGGACTGCAGCAGGGAAGCAGTTGGAGGTGGGGGAGAGCTGGGAGAGGGCAGAGGCACAAAAGCCACGGGAGGACACAGTTTCAGGAAGAGAGGACTGTTTTCCAGGTGCTGGTTTCAGTCTGGCACTTCAATACAAACATGTTCTTATTCTGCAAACGTGCAAAAGGCATTAGAGTCTTTCCTGCTCTTACAGTGGGCAAACTCAAAGTCAGGAGTCAACTAATCCCTAACTAAATCTCAGTGTTCAAAAGCATTTTTTACTCAAACCCACAGGATATGTGGCTATTTGGCCCTGTCTGTATCTCAGGTTAAGTTTCTGAAGGGTTATCTTCCTTACACAAGGGCTGCTTGTGCATCTGCTCACCGTAATCCAATATTCTGAAACAGCAAAATGTTTGTCAGAGAGAATCCAAGGCAGGGGTTATATAAGTCACTTTCCTAGAACTGGCAAAATATAAAACTCTGTTCTCCCCACAAACTGCACATTATCAAAATGCCACAGCAGAAAACCACCCCAGGCTGTGTCACTGAATCAGCACAGGGCGTGAAACAATAGAGAGCAGAGAAGTACTGAAGCACATTTATTACAAAAGAGCAAAGTTTTAATTTTCTGTAGTAACAACAGTTTCAATCTGCTTATCGATCCCACAATTAAAAAAAGAAAAAGGTAAATGCAGGAAGCAGGGCTCCCAAAGGAAAGCTGCAACATGCACTGTGCATCTCGATGGGTAACACAGGTATGCTGTGAATAACTCAACAGGTAAACCAGAGGCACCCTAAATACCCTTTACACAAACTAAGGTAGTCACCACAACTCCAGTCTTCAGCTCAGTAACTTCTCTTCAGAAAAACCTTGGCTGGTACACAGACGTTTTGAGGCTGGTTTTGCTGGGAAAAGGTTAGAAAAAGTAAGTTATTTAATGTGCAGTAAACAGACCGAGCTAAACCACAAGCCCTGGAACACTTAAGGGATTTAACAGGAAGAGATGAGAGTTAAAATCAGGATTAACAGTCACAAACGAAAACTGTTACAGCGGTAATGGGGGATCTTTACTAAATGCCAGAAAGGACTTTCAAAAAACCTGTATGGAAATAGATTTTGACCTACATCTCAGTGCTACCCAACAACAGCATAAAAATAAGTTTCATGGCATTAAAGCTTTAAAAAACCCTCCTTTCCTTAAGTTCATGTAACTGCAGCCTTGTCACACGCTGCAAAGCCCAAGAGCACGAAAACCAACCAGTTTCTACAAGTACTGCAAGAAACAAATGACTAACTATAAAAAAAAACCCAAAACACAAAGTAACCAAATTCAGCACTGAAGCTCTCTACCTGTCTCAGTTAAATTGCACAGAACCTGACTCTGCTGATGTGGTGGCTCCAGCCCTACACTGAGTCCATGTGAGCATGAGGGAGAAGGTCAGAGCTGGGACCAGTCCCTTGGAAGTGCATTTTCTGGGCGAAAATGCAGCTCCAGCTCTTAAGTCCTGAGCTAACAGAAAACTGTTTGGCATTAGATCACAGGCTCACTGAATATCCTGCGTTGGAAGGGCCCACAAGGATCTCTGAGTCCCCATCCTCCCCCAGTACACAACCCAAGGCATAAAGGTCTGCTTTATGGCCTGTGGGGTGATCCTATCCAGTCCCCCATGTTTCTGGGGAGGCTCATGCTGGGATCAGAGGAGCAGGCTGCTGTTTCCAGGAGCATAGGAAGCCCTGCAGCTGCTGCACACATGCAGGCACTCGGCCCTGCCGGCCACCTCCGCGCTCATCCCAAATCCAGTGTCGCTGTCGCACGGGCCAGAGTGGCCCACAGGGTGGGAACAGCCCGAGGCAGCAAAAGGTGGAGCCTGAAATCCCAGTGCCACATGGGAGGGTTGTTCCTTACCTTCATCAGGGCAGGGCCTCTTGTACAGCACATCTGCTGGGACCTGGAAGCTGATGCACAGCATCTCCTTGTTGGGCGCCACGTTCCTGACCAGGTACGTAGAACAGCGCCCGTCCAGGGAGGTTCCCAGCGACGCCTCCGCTCGCTCCTGAATGTCCTTGGCCGGGTCCTCGTGCTTGGAGAACCCGTAGCAGTGCACAGTGGGAAGGGCAGCAGCACTGCACGGCTCCCCAACTAAGAGATGCCTGAAAACATCCAGGAATTCAACAGCCAGTGCTGGCAAGTTCATGACTATGTGGAAAGCGTTTTTCTGCTCTTCCTTCATGAGTGGGAGCTCTTTGCTCAGCTCCTCCCGTACCGGCCCCCGGAGGAATTCCCTGCCATCCATGTTGAACGCTTTCACTTTGGTGTCTACTTTGTTTAGCCTGCAGTTGTGCAGGAGCCAGTTGTAGGACTCGGGATTGAGGTCGTTGGCGAACACGCGGCACTTCTTCTTTGCTGCTGGAATGGCAAAAGGTCCGATCCCAGCAAAGACATCGAAAAGGACATCCCCAGGCTTCAACAGCTCCACGATACGGCCGTGTTCCGTGGAAAGGCGTGGGTTCCAGTACACTTTGGAAAAGTCCAATTCATACACAATATTGTTTTCTTTGACCTGAAAGTCCAAAACATTTTCCGTGTTTAATTGCCTGGCAGGTTTAAGCATTATCAGTAATTCAGAGAGCTAAACACCAAGGTGCCTTGTCGAAAGGTAACGGGTACATCAACATTTGTCCCACTGGTAGGACACAGGAACCTTGTAAAACCAGATCCAGCTCATCAGAAACTGCCATGAGGAATGTCCCCCACTGTCAATCCCGATGACTGGCTCACGCCTGTCTCAATCACCAGGTGGAAAAAAAGCAGCAACTTAAAATGGCCATAAGAAAAAATGAGGCTTTTCAACAGCTTTGTGGCTGACTGACAACTCCTTTATTGAAAGCAGACTTTGGGAAGATGCCTCAAACCCTCCTTAGAGGAGCCCACACAGTAAATAAGCGTCTGAGAATGATACGGCACAAGAACAGGAACCCTCAGCCAAAGTCAAAGCCACTGGGAGCCAGTTCTGCAGCTTGAAAAATACTGTATTTCATCTCTCAAGGTGACAGAGTCTGGAAACTGATCCAAACCCAAACTTTGGAATGACCACTATCTTAAGAACAGACCTGAAAAGAAACAGTATTTATTCAGATGAGAATGGGATGCAAGATAATACTCTCTTTGCACCACCACGCTGGAATTGTGTGACTCCAAAGTACAGCAACTTCAGATCCAAATCAGCCCATCGTTTGCTTTGCCAGCAAGAAACATCCTGAAGTGTATCTGCAGTGCTGGGTGCAGCTCCACGGTGTGCCAGGTGTACGGTAACACCATCTGCACAATATTTGATCCTCGCTGCTGCCTTGACAATTCAATTGCCTTCTCTGTGCGTGTACAGGATGTTCTACCAAGATATCCAGCCTTTTTATTTGGTAATCTAATGTCTTCTCTTCTGAAAGTACAAAACTGCTCACAGATAGGGAAAATATTTTTGTGGGAGCCGTGGCCAAGTTTCCAGCTACAGACAAGAAACCCTACGCGAAGGATGCGTGGCAGTCACACAGTGATTGCACCTGATAAATGTCAGGACAGAGGAGAGAGGAGGTCTGTCTTGCTGCTGTCAGAGAAGGAAAAAGGCAAAGGCAAAATGTTGCCTGAGTTGCAAAGCCAATCAGATTGAAAACAAAGTCTTAGGTTCTATATCAGCCGCCGGACAAGGCTTGGTGACACTAAAAACCTGCATTTTCTTAGATCAAATCCACTGAATATTTTGGCTTTGAGAAACATCCCCCAGTACAAGTTTGTCATTAGTATCTCTGTAAGAAACCTTTACTGCAGCTGCTTTTACACAGCATTAAATCTAGGCTGTGTACTTGAAAGAATACGTGTCTTCATGATCCCTATGGCTGAGTTTGCCCTTGGCAGACCAGGACAAAGGAATGCAGAAGTAACAGCCAACCTTGATGCTCAGACAGGTGTCAGGAAGGGCACTGTGCAAAGGAGTGGTCTCAACAGCATCCCTGCATCATCTCTTTCCAGAAGATGCCCTTGGGTTTTAGCATATTAAAATTAAAATACCAGGGGGAAAAGGCCTGTACCTTGGTTACCAGGTTCTTCTCTCCAGCGAGCACTTCCATTTCAAAATTCCTGTATGTGCTGTCAATAATATTGGTTTTATTCACTGCACAGGTGATTCCTGGATTCTTGTCAATTATAACCTGGCCTGAAAGAAAGGGCAAAAGGTATTCTGGTTACAGGACCACAACCTTTTAATGTTCTACAACAGCCACAACAAACCTGCTGTTAACAGTTAAAAATAACAAAAGTAAGTGTGTGTTGGAACAACCTCCCTCTCCTGAGGGAGGGTTGCAGCTGTGACACCTTTTTAAGGCACACACTTCACCCTGAGCCAGTTCTCAGTGCAGAGAGAGGAGAGAACTGTGCCCTCTGGGCACAGCTACAGCATCAGCACAAGGCTACTTAAAGCCAAAATAAAAAGCAATCGAAAGTTTTCTTTGTGCAAGTGACACTTCATAAAATATCTTTTGGGAAATATACGAAATATACAAATTACCTTTTTGAGAGGAGCAGTTTTACCTACCAATCAAATGTCTGTAGGGCAGCTGGTGATCCCTGAGATTCAGATGTGCTATGTGGCCAACACGGCTAAACCCAGAGGTGACCTCCTGACCCTCAGGAAGCACCGCTCGCAGGATCTCCTCCGACCTGAAGTTCTCGTAGGTCAGCTCCAGGTTATACCTGGACACCTCAGGATCAACACTGAGCTCCTTCAGCACCTGCTGCTCTGATTCTCCCAGTGAGAATCCTGGTATTTTATGAGGATCCAGGATAACAAGTCTACTGTCCTCATCTTCTGGATCCTCAACCACTCGCTTCAGACCGGGACGCTGCAGGACCGATTGTTTTAGGGACTTCAGCAAACTATTTACAATTTCTTTCTTGACTTTAAGAGCTGGAACAACAACTGTCCTTTTGAAAGCCTCTCTGTTGAGCAGGGTCATCCCACGCACTCCGGGATGTGGTGAATACAGTTCTGGATTAGCTTTATCCTCCACAGTTTCAGGCATCGTGGAGAAAGCGTTTTTTCTAACTACTACAAAGGGCCCAGGTATTCTGCCAGAATATTGTGCCAACAGCATCCAAACTGCTGGAAATGATGTATTTGATGCAGCTGTCCTAAAATGATTAGTTTTCAGTAGTCTGGCAGAGTATCCAAATCTCCACAAAGTCCTAGAAGAGAAATTATTCATTTTATAGACATTATGTAATCATTCCATTAAAAAGGCTGCAAATCACATGGATTTGCTGTTCTCTTAAACCAGAATTTCCATCTGTACCAAACAATCCACAATAGTTTAGTAAAGCTCTTTATTATAAAATATATACTGCGAATGTCTGTTATTTTGCAAATGTGTTTTTAGGCTTAAGCACCAACTAACTTCAAGCAGCAAGATAATCTCCTCCTGCCAAAAAAACAATGACCTCTCCTTGTTCTAATAAATGTGATATTAATCCCAGTAAGCCACATGGAAAGATTTCTACTGTCTCGATCCTACTGTTGGATCCATTCTGTGTCTGATAAAATTCATTACCAAGCAGTGGTTGCTAGAAAACAGTTTTTAGCATTAGTGGTCATGATCACTCTTTGGTGATTTCTGCCTCCCAGACCCCAGTGTAAGGTGTTACACACTCCACAGTGTCTTTGCTCCATGGGCTGCATGCCAGGAAGATCATTAATTAAATCCAGTATTCCCTATAAGGTCCAGGGGAGCATTAGTAATGGCTCTTCCAGTGACTGAGCCCCATTCTACAGTTCATCCATGGGATGGGGAACTTTTGAAAGTGGCTTTACCCTCCTCTAAACTGTTTCCTCCACTAGAGATAGTCCAAAAGGGCCAGTTTTGTGACTGCATCTGCTGCTCCAAGGCAGGAACCAATGGTTTAGGCGGTGCTCAAGGCTGGCATCTCTCCTGACCTCTTGGGAAGCTTGTTTTGAGATCAGGGGTGGATAGGAAAGATGCAAACCAGCTCTGAAATGAAACTGGTTCTCCTGCCTCCCTCAGCCACTGCCCTCCTCCAGGGTTCCAGGCTGTGCAGTCTCTCCTTCCCAAAGCTGCTGTGCCCAAACCCTGGCAAAGCTGGTCCTGCTCCCATCCTCCCTGCATCTCCCAACCAGCCCATTTCCCTAAGCCGGGCTTTTGGCAAAGCACGCCTCCTTCGCCTGTTGACTCAGAAATTAAACACTGCGTTCCTCACGTCTGCTGCACAGGAGAAATCCCTCATCCAGAGGCCTGAGCATCCCTGTGTTTCTCCTCCTGGGGCATCTGCCTTCTTCCTAGACGGAAACTATTGAATCAGTACTTCAGGATCACAGAATCGACAGTGGTTGGAAGAGACCTCTGGGATCACCGAGTCCAACCTGTGCCCCAACACCACCGTGTCAACCAGACCGCGGCACCGAGCGCCACGTCCAGTCTCTCCTTAAACACCTCCAGGGACCGAGACTCACTACCTCCCCGGACAGCCCATTCCGATGCCTCATCAGCCCTTCTGTGAAGCAATTCCTCCCGATGTCCAACCTGAATCTCCCCTGGCGCAGCTTAAGGCCAAGTCCTCTCACCCCGTCGCTTCTAGATAAGCCTACAAAATAAACTCCCCGCCCCCGCGCTGTATTCTGGCTGGAG